TCGCTTTTAACCCTAACCCTAACCCTAACCCTAACCCCTAACCCCTAACCCTGACCCTGACCCTGACCCTGCCCCTAACCCCTAACCCTAACCCTGACCCTGACCCTGACCCTGACCCTGACCCTAACCCTGACCCTGACCCTGACCCTGACCCTAACCCTAACCCTGACCCTAACCCTAACCCTAACCCTAACCTCAATATGTAATAATATTTGACTCGAATAGATCAGTAATTAATCATCGACTTTCAACTTTAGAAAAATTAAAAAGAGCTATAAAATGAACAAATTCCATCGGGAATCGAACTCGGCACCCCTTAATCTGAAGTCCGCTGCTCTACCTACTGAGCCAAAGTGTATGATGGAAATAACAAAATAAACTTTGATACTTCGCTACACAAAGTATTAAGATAAAAAAAACAATAACCACGCCTACTGAAATCACGTGACAAAAATTGACATTGACGAGATGACTCCGGAGCGATCTTCGTAAAACCCCCTATACCCTAACCCTAACCCTAACCCTAACCCTAACCCCTAACCCTAACCCTAACCCTAACCCCTAACCCCTAACCCTAACCCTAACCCTAACCCTAACCCCTAACCCTAACCCTAACCCTAACCCTAACCCTAACCCTAACCCTAACCCCAACCCTAACCCTAACCCTTACCCTAACCCTAACCACCACTAACCCTAACCCTAACCCCCATTAACCCTAACCCCCACTAACCCTAACCCTAACCCCCGTTAACCCTAACCCTAACCCTAACCCTGACCCTAACCGTAACCCTTAACCCTGACCCTAACCCTAACTTTAACCCTAATCCTGACCCTTACCCCCACAAACCCTAACCCCCGATAACCCTGACTTTAACCCCCTGCAAACACTTCTTTTTCTATTTTTGCTCATATCTTTCCACTGACTGCTCCGATGTCAACGTTCTTGGTGTCGTTGGAAAGGTCTTGAAGAGCTCTTTACGCTCGTTTCATGATACTGTCGTTTTAGTGAGCAGGAAGTCGAATAACAAGCGATATTTTCAAAAGGCAGAACATCTTTATTTCTTATTTGTTGACTTCTAAGTACAATCTTTCGTGTAAATAAGAATCCAACTTTTCTCCTCTTACATGACACCTGGCTTGGATACCCCGGCCCTAGTCATGTTGTCCGTCTTCTAAGCTTTCCAACGACACCAAACTTGTCTAAATTCGATAAGAAATAAAAGAAGATAAGAGTTTCGGAAAACTCCAGTATTTCCTATTCCTATTATAACCACGCCTATCAAAATCACGTGATAGAATGTGACATTGACGAGAATGCTCCGGAGCAATCTTCGTAAAACCCCTTATACCCTAACCCTAACCCTAACCTTAACCTTAACCTGGTATCTTAAACCTAACCTGGTATCTTAAACCTAACCTTAATCTTAAACCTAACCTTAACCTGGTATCTTAAACCTAACCTGGTATCTTAAACCTAACCTAATATCTTAAATCTAACCTTAATCTTAAACCTAACCTTTAACTTAAACCTAACCTTTTCCTTCAACTCATCACATACAGCGTTAACAGTAACTGTGAAAGTCTTCCATCATCAAAGAGCAATTGCTAGCTTTGTGTATAGGATGACATCAGAAAGAGGTGTGAAATGCTGTATCAACACTTCGCGCGTGCAGACTTGGACATACATTCACAGAAAGTCATCGGGGAGAGAAGACTTGAAAAAGGTAGGCAAAATACTTCATAGTTATGTTATTAAGATATAATCTAAGAATTTAACATTTAGATAATTAAATTCAAATACCTGTAAAATGAATTCTTATAGCGCATGCAGACTTGGACATAGATTCGCAGAAAGTCATCGCAGAGAGAAGACGTGAAAAAGGTAAGCAAACTACTTCACATTTATGTTGTTAAGATATAATCTAAGAAATTAACATTTAGATAAATAAATTCAAATGGTTGGAAAATGAATTCTTATAGCTTTGATTTTTTTTTAGTCCTTGTTTGATAAAGTTAAAAGACTTCAAGGAAATTAGCAACTATTTGTATATTATCCAATAGTGTTCTAAATACCATATCGGAAGAATTGTAAGCGAGGATTCAATTTTGGCATTTTAAGCGAGGGTGTCGCCGGGATCGCTTAAATTGAATGTCGCTAAAAATTAATTACGTTTTCTTTGTAATACACTGCTTGAAAAAACACCTTTACAAAACTTTACTTGCAAAGTAAATTTCATTAAAGGTGCTCAAAAAAGCAAGGTCATCTTTGTATTAACTTTACAAAAAGTAAAGGTGAAAAGGTAACCTTTACTTTCACGAAAAGATAATTAAATATAACCTTTCACCTTTAATGCCATATTAAAGTTCATTAAATATAAATATTTTATAAAAGTCTTATTTAAATGCTGACTATTGTCTAATACACTTATTCTTTGGATTTTCAGTTTGTTCAAAGAATCTAATCTAGTCAGTACCCAGAATTTTAATAAAAACATCAGATATTTTTTAATTATCTTGAATCCATTTCCAGTTGAAATTAGTATTAGAAATGGTCATCTACAGAATCAAACATTTGACTCATCATTATTTGACAGACTGCACCTCAAATAATACAACACCTATGCTGTAAGCCAGGTTAGCTTAGTTGGAGCAGCTGGCGTTTATTTTGATACATGTAACAATATATGAATATTTAACATACATTACACTGAATGTGAAACAATAAAGCACTGCAATGCATTTGTAAAATATTTTACATTTAATAAATTGTACCCCTATCAATGACATTAAAAACCGCCCAGGCAAAAACCATAGATGGTTTACTATGGAAAACCTGTGTCCGTCGCTATGTAAATAATGTCTCAAGGGAGAATGCCGTACGTGCATTCGGTGCAATAGTTAAAAATGCAGGAGCATCCTATAATATTTGCATGTATGAAAAAATCCAAATTAAAGTACATGTCAACACTTTTGTTATTTCCATTACCAGTATATTTTTACAAATATGATATATAGGTTATTTATAAAGCAAAAAAAACCCTGTGTTTATTAAAGAGCACTGGCTTAGAATGATTTAAACACCTTACTGAATACTCATTTCTCATTGGCCTTCCTTTGGCCAGGCCCACATATACAACCAAAACAATTAATATAGGTTCATCAGTCCTCACATACAATGTGTTCCCGCAATACTACAAAACACAGGAAAAAAATATTATCTGCACCAGGATTGCCTACAAATCTCTGAATTGGATGGCATAGATCTTTAATATGTACATTGATATTAATGATAGAGTAATTAATAATATAACAATGGGAAAAATTGGCATATTGATAATTTTCATTTTCCAAACAAAAATGATCTAAAATATTCTGCATTTTTGCTTCTCATCATATGATGAGTCAGATATACAGCACAAACAATATCCAGTTATAACCTTCAATATAAACATATTGAGCTATCTTTGTCTTTTGATTTCCTTTAAACATTCAGATACATGTGAGAAAAAAATTGAAAAAAAAATACAGATGATAAGTATAAATTTCACATTTCTGCTTTTGAAATGGAGGTATCATTTCACTCTAAAATATAATACCGATACATTATTTATTCTTAATGGTGCATGTACATTCATAAATTAAACTTTGCAGTTTAAATAGAATGTGGAAAAAAATACATAAAAGGCTATTTGATTTGCACTTATATACAGGCTAATAACATCTTCAACTTGTAATGCAAAATGATGCATTTTACATATTCACAAACTCAAAAAATGGTGAAAAATCTAATAGAATATATGCGATGATGCAATTTGCAAAATGCATGAGATCATGTACGAGTCCAGCTTCACCCCGTGAGCCTGTCTGTGCTTGATTAAGTTTAGATTATGTTTTTACGTCTGTGGTAAATGTAAGTGTGTTTGCATATGTGTCCAGCTGTACATTTTTCATGTATGTGCTTGGCTTCACACGCCTTGGAAAATATGTAATAGGTTGTGGCAGATGCATGTGTAATTGTGTATGTGTCCAGCTTCACACATTTTCATGTATGTGCTCGACTTCACACACCTTGGAATATGTAATAGGTTGTGGCAGATGCATGTGTATTTGTGTATGTGTCCAGCTTCACACATTTTCATGTATGTGCTCGACTTCACACACCTTTGAATATGTAATAGGTTGTGGCAGATGCATGTGTATTTGTGTATGTGTCCAGCTTCACACATTTTCATGTATGTGCTCGACTTCACACACCTTTGAATATGTAATAGGTTGTGGCAGATGCATGTGTATTTGTGTATGTGTCCAGCTTCACACATTTTCATGTATGTGCTCGACTTCACACACCTTGGAAAATATGTATTAGGTTATGGTAGATGTATGTTTGCATATGTAATGTATCAAGCTATACGCGTACGCTTTTTCATGTGTGTGCTCGATTTACATGTCAACATACAAAATGTTAAATATGTAATCATGGTGGTGTAAAAGGTTTACAAATGTATGATGCACAAAAAGAAAAAAAGTTCTGTGTGTTTTGTTCTGCAAATCTGCATATAAATAAACTACAATTATGTCCTGTTGAGAAACTGACAATCATTATAAGTAACATAATTATTCATTTTACATAACTGTACTGAAAATTACACATCCAGTTTAAATTACTGTACTGAAAATTGAATTTGTGCAAAAACTCTCTGGCTCAATAACATACAAAATCATGAATGCTTGCATGTTCATCTATAAATCTCCAAGATATTTCCTAGTTAGCTTGTAGCGCCCCACCGGGCAGTCTTACAACACATTTCATAAAGTCACTTCTCATTTATAAATCAATTTATCCTTGTTCCTCATATCTTGAAAATAGATGCTGAAACTCTAGTCTACAGTTTATTTACACAGCACATCACAAATAGATAAATCAGGAAAAATGATTCACAAAAAATAAATACATATAAATCCGAGAAATATAAGGTAACATTCAAAGTAAGTATGTAGCTTTATTTATCTCTAACATTTATATCTACTAATTCTTCTATATTTCCATCTTCCTATCTTATTCTAAAATTCTGTCGCACTATAGATATACTCAAAATCTGGTCCTGATCCTTAAGATCAAGAGTCAATACACGGGTCATTTAGATCCGCAGGGAGTTATATAAGAGGGGGCAATTAATATACAAATAAGATGATAATGTGTGAACAATTAAGTAATGAAGAGTTATATTACAGATAATATATTCTAAATCGCTACAAGTTTACAAATTCTTGATCATATCGTTGATAAAAGTATATATTCTTGACAACTGTATTGGATTCCCCTCTCTGACATTTTTTCTTGTTCACCAATTAGTTCAACAGTCATCTGCTCTGGGTACTCAGGTGCTGTACAAGTCCTAAAAAATCATTTTCAAAATTATAAAGAAAAACAATACAATTTTTAGATTGGTTTTCATTATTACTTCAATTGAAATTAAAGCACAAGCTTTTGAAGACATACTTAAGTAACTTAAAACATGTATAACTAAACATAATGGAAATTTAGACAAAGCAACTCAATGTCAAACATATGTAACATCTGTAATATCCATGAAACTTACTGAGATACTTAAAATGTTTGTGGGGTGCTTTCACTGAGCTAAGCAATATATAAACATTTCTTGATTACAGTTGAAGTCCAGTTCTCACCTGACTTGCACATTCATATGGACTGGTTTTATGTTGATAATCTCTTTCAACAATCTTCATCACAACATCTGAAAGTAATCCACCTTCAAAATTAAATCTGACGCTCACCTCAGGTGCATACAGACTCCCTGTACAAATGCATGGAAAATGAAATTTTGAATAAAAAATGAATTATCTCTTCACCATACCTGGCCTCTTTAAAAAATGTGAGGAAATAATTATTTAAATATATTCTTTACATAAAATCATGAACTAATATCCAACACTTGAAAAAAAATCATCTCTAGAATTTTACATTTATATTGAATGAAAAATGCATTGTTCCCTCTAGTTAAAAAAAACTCAAAAGACATTACCTAAAATGGAATGAGGTACAACTGTGACTGGTGTCTCAGGCATGACCAATAAACACAAGACCTTTCCATCCTTAGCAGCATGCATTAGATCCACATCCCTTGCTTCTACAAAATATACAATGAAAATTTTAAAAATGAGAGCGAAGAGTGTTACATGCGCCCCGTACTTGGGGGAACAGTTATCCGAGATTCCTCTGACTCTAACCCCTGCTTTTATATTGTGACTTGTGCAGGGGAGAGTCAGAGCGGACTCCATATTGAAAACTGGGAATCTGGCGAAACCACCTGGTATCGCTACTCTGCCTACCGTTTACAACTTTATTTCGCGGAGCTAACTCCAGAGACGCGAGAAATCGGTAAAATAATTATTTTCCTACTTGTTAATTGTCATTAAAAAATGCTTCCACCGTTTAAATAGCCCTATCACCGACAAATGAAGCATCACTTGAACTAGGTCGCCTCATCGCCATTCGACTGCTTTGCGCATGACGTAAGCACACAAATACACAAAATTCCAGTCAGTTTGAAAGTAACACGTGCTCTAACCACGTGTAGGGCTTTCGGAAAATATGAAAGTGTTGTGAAAATACATATAAAATAGCATAATGATGTTTTATTTATTGATTGATAAGGAAAGCAACTGTCACAAACGACTTTTATGCTAATATGAGGTTTAAAACACCAAACATGATATTTTCACGTGATAGTTTATTTGTGTATTTGTGTGTGACGTTATGCGCAAAGACGTCGAATGTCGAGGAGGCGACCAAATTCAAGTGATGCTTCATTTTTCGGTGATAGGGTCGTTTAAACGGCGAAAGCATAATATTTATGACGATTAACAAGTAGGTGAATAATTGTTTTACTGATTTCTCGCGTCTCGGGAGTTAGCTCCGTGAAATAAAGTTGTAAAAGGTAGGCAGAGCAGCGATACCAGGTGGTTTCGCCAGATTCCCAGTTTTCAATATGGAGTCCGCTCTGACTCTCCCCTGCACAAGTCACAATATAAAAGCAGGGGTTAGAGTCAGAGGAATCTCGGATTAGGGGAAAACAGAGGAAGGAATTTTGAAGTCAGATTAATTATATTTCTGCAAGTGTTGGGACGGATAAATTTCCATAATAAAATGAAATGAATTATTCGCAACAAAAAAACACATGTATAACCTTGCAGTCACCGTCGCACATAATGTATACAACCGACAACATCCCAAAGCTCTTTCTTTGTTTACTTGGCGGAATTTTCTTTGCATTCTAGACTGGTTCCCATACATTGCCGTGAAAAAGTCCTACGTTTATTGGTTTTGTTTACAAGCTTCAACATCAATAAAATCTCCAGCACATTTACAGCCTGTATCGTAAACTACACTGAAAAAATACTTTACACACCGTTGTCAGCTCAGTATTATGTTATCCTCTTCATTCAAGTAATATGTAAACTTCTCGAATGTAAAACGAAGGACCTACTCTGAACAGTAACCCAAATATGGCACTATGTATTCGGTTGAATAGCCAATCATTTCAAATCAAGTTGAGCGGGTCTGCATCGTTATTTTGACGAAGTTTGCGGTAATTTTTTGATACTTCATCTAGATTTAAGAAGATTCTTGCCTTGACAACTGCTCGAATTCCCGGGTTGGCATGCGCTAAAGGTTTGTTTACGATTTCCAGCCGTTTTCACTTTCACTTTCAGATCAGTATATTGTGCATGTTGTGAATGAATGAAACTAATCAAATTCACGCAAAACGACGCTTTTTATGTTATTTACTGCCAGGATATTAGATAAGTATTTTTGACAATTTGGGGATTTATTGTTTATGTGCGTCACTTAATTCTGTAAAGGTGTATGAATTAAACAAGACAAAGATAAACATATTCTGGAGTGGGACTAAAATGAGTAGTAAAAACCAAGTCATGCCGGGAATTTGAAACTGAAAACCGGAGTTTTGCTTATTACAGAGAATTAACACTTTCAAATGTCATAAAACTTAGAGTTGGCTGAGAGTTTTAACTCCAAATTTGACAAATAATTTTGTTTTATTTTGTATTTTAAACTGTGTCCATTTTCTTTAAATACAGGTGGTATAGTGAATTCAGTATGCAGATTGTTGAAGGGAAAACATCAAGACAGGGCGAGGAAGACGACAAAACATGATTACCCAGATTGAGGATCCCAGTGTTCTTTGGTACAAGCACATTTTAATAATAAATTTAATGAAATCTGTTACTTGAACAAACATTTACATTATTTAGTGCTTGACTTGCTCGGGAGTCAATATCGTCATATATTTGTAAAAAAAAAATAATGTTCAATTTCCTTTGTATAGTCTGAAGCTATTCAGCCTACCATGAGAAAATTAAAAGATCTGTCATGAAGAAGAGGCGGGTTCTCAACTTTCATATTATAAATGGCAAGTATTGTTTAAGAACTAATTTTAGATTATTCTTGATAGAAAAATAACGTAAGGGTGTTTGTTAATTCATAGCTATTATTTGTGATTCCATTTTGTATTAATTTTCAAAATCAATTCATTCTTTGGTGACCATGTGCAGTGGTTTGCTTCAAACTCATAATTTTTTATAAAAATATAGACTATATTAATTTTTTCAATTGCAGAAAATGTTACTCACTGTACAAAATCTATTTCAGCACGATTGTCATGTTCAATTTGAGGGCCTCTCACCTAAAGTTCTTTTACTGTTCCATATCAGGAAAAAGTTCATGAGCTGAAACATGCGATTGGAGAAAAAGGTGCATATACTAGTATCCTAAACCATAACTTGAATATCATTCTGTATACATGTACAGCTAAACTAAATATGTAGCACTATATTGTTCTCTTTGTAAACTGACAACAGAGTAGTCAGGAAACCTATGATTTTCCAATATTTCAGGGATTTATTCTTTGTTTTTGTATAGTACTCTTAAAAAAATACATAGTTCTCAAATTGTAATGTATAGGCTTTTTGTGATAAGGGATACATGACCTAACCATTGATTCTTCATATAAAATATCAATAACAAGAGTTCTACTCATTAAATTCATAAATTTGCATTTCTTTGCTTTTTGAGGTTAAAGGTCATTTTAGAACTTTTTATTTATAAATTAGGTTGTTCCTTGTTTTTATTTTTATAAATCATGGTATTTTGAATTCTGATAAGTGATAACACAGACACCTTTGAAAATATTTATACTTATGTGTGGCACTGAAAAAATACTTATAGATTTTCTTTTTCTTTTAGGAAAAGCATTAGGAAAATGCCTGCACGAGGAGAAAAGTTTTGGACTCTGAAAAGGGAGGTGTGACAAAAACATTTTGACAGTTGTTGATTTCCACTAAAAACAATATCCACAAGAAAGAGTACATAGTTTTATGTTGATTCACAACATTAATTCAAGAATGTACAATTGGTTTTATTATAAATCATGTCAGTGACACATACAAATAAAAGCATTCGTGTAATGTACCCTGTCTCTGATATGTATGTAATTTGCAGGATAGGATGTGGGCAACATAAACTGCCAAGAATCTTGATGATTTTGATCTTAAAAAGAAATGTTTTGTATTGTAATAAACCAAGTTAAAGTCAGCTTTTTTGTTACTTTGTATATTAATTATGATGTTTACATTTCCGCAACTTATCAATTTGGAAGAAAAAACTTTATATTTATAATTTGAATAAGGCTTCATTCACTGGAATGGAAAATAGAGCTTATTAACTTTTGGAGTTATTAAAGATGGTATTTAATTAAATTTAAGGTCTGTAAATATCAGATTGTGGTTATTAAAAATGGCATTTAATTAAATTTAGAATCTGTAATTATCAGATTTAATTTATCCTAAATACTGTGTTTAATGGTTGTAAATATTAACTTTACTTTTTTGTAAAGTCAAGATAAAGTGGGACATTACATCATATTTAAGTGCATGTAAAGTTAATGTAAAGGTTACCTTTTCCAGCTTTGACTTTTTTCAGAAAAGCCAATTAAAGGCATTGTAAATAATAAATTTACATTATCTTTACTTGTTTTGTAAAGCCAAATTTTCATGCAGTGATTCGAACTTTACCAGGAATTAATCTGATGAATGTCCTGTTTTCCTTTTTAAGCAGTTGTCGTACTCCATTTTCCAGACATTTCAGAACATTAAAGCTCTTTGTTTAGTTGTTTGGGTTCTCCTTCATTACTTCTGGAAATCTGGTTAGCATTTTTTAATGGACAGTTCTTCTGCTGCCTTCTCATTTTTCAGGCTTTTTTTGTATCATCTCAGTTTAATAGACATTCCAGAGCTTCTAATAAATCTATAAGGAGGGACATACTTTTCACCTATATATTTACTCCCTATGTGTTTGGTTTTAGGTAATATTGATACGAGCTTATCATTAGCGGTTATATTGCGTATGATTCTAGATTCTTGTGAGAAACACGATTTCAAACGATATGACGTTCCTTTTATTGCTTAGAGATAAACACAGGTATTATTGAAATATTGTATATTGTTTATAGCGATGTCGACAATATCGAAAAAAACATCGTGCACTGGACATACCTCACTTTCATGTCCAGTTCCCTTAATCAAATCGATATTGTCGACATCGCAATGTATACAATGTTGATACGATATCGTGTATACATCGTCTACATCATTATTGTTTTTACATGACAACATTGTCGACGTCGACATCGCAATGTTGACAATGTTGATACGATATCGTGTTTACATCGTCTACATTGCTATTGTCTCTAGATGACAACAACGTTGACATAGCAATGTAAACAATGTTGATACGATATCGCCTTTACATCGTCTTCATTGTTATTGTTTCTACATGACGACATTGTCGACGTCAACATCGCAATGTTGACAATGTAGATACGATATCGCGTTTTCATCGTCAACATTGTTATTATTTCTACATATTTAAATTTCCCTGTATTTTTCTATTAAGCCAACTGTAAGATTAATTTGAAAACCATTTTCGTGTTTACTCACACGTAGATATATACACGGAGAAACGTGCGTTAACGTGACGTCACGTCACGTAACAATAAAACTGCTGCAACTTTAGTTAAAATGCAATGATATAGACTCGCACATTGGCATATTTTTCATGAAGCACTAGCATTGCGTGAACGATGTAAACAAGATTTGGAAAAAAGCAATGTTGACACTATGTCGACTCGATACACTACTAGCTTTTAAAACCCCTGTCCGTATGAAAATCCCCTGTCTTTCTCTGTATCCTACAGCATTTTCATGGTAATATACAGGATTTGTACAGTATCCTACGCTATGCTAGCTCTGTATATACAGTAAATCTCTGTATGCCGCTGTATGTATCCCCAGCATGCCAGTTACATACAGTAGGCCCCGATACGCCTACAGTATGCCACTGTATGGCTACTGTTTCCTATAGACAACTACGGTAAACCACAGTATATTCCACAGTACGCCCCTGTATATGTTCATTGAAGCAAAACGAAGAAGTTTACACACTCCCAGAGCACTGTACGGTTACCTAAGATGTGGGATTGTCAATTTAGTACACAGAGTTACTTACCTAAGAAATTTTTGAACATTATTTTAAACACATGGTAGTATTTTTTTTTAAGTGTTAAGAGACTAATTGTGTTTTTTATAACTCTGAAGTAACTATGAAATATTAATAAATTGTTGCTTCAAAGAATATTTATCTATCAATTTTTAAAAATTAATTATGTAATTATTCTTTGGTTTGATTTATTACTTAATTTATTTATTTTGCAAAAACCTATTTAATCCATAAATTACTTGGAGTGACTTTGAACTTTAAATAAAAACACGGCCGGGGTAATGCTGAATTTTGGAAAATTGTAGTTTTTAAAATTGATTTAGTTTCCTTGAAAAAATAAATAAAATTAATTAAATGAAATTAATCATTTTAAAAACAAATCAATCTATTTCTTGACAAATACAGAGCTGCATAGTAAACTCGGAACAAAATAAATAAAGTGAGGTGGAAAGTAAAAATTAAATAAAATAAATGACTTTAAAAATACAAAATTAATAAATGAACTAATTATTTATCTTGTTTATTTATCAATTTATCTACAAACACATAGATAAACAAAATAAATAAAAATTAATTTATTTATTTTAAATTTTTTTCAAAAAGACTTTGAGAGACATTTTATTGGAAACTTGTTTACATCAAATAAAGCAAATAAATCCAACTTTCGGGATTATAATTAATTAATTTGCTTGTATCGTCAATTTAAGAAATAAATAAATAAATAAATATATTGTTCTTTTTACAATGATTAAATACGTGCTGGTAATTTGTTTTATCTAATTATTCACTAACCATTAAAAATCAATTATTGAATTGATTTTAAAAACTATTTATTTTAAATAAGCAGCATTATTCTTGTTGTGAAGGTGTGTGTGTGTAATTTTTTTCCCAACAGGAACAAAAAGCCATTCCAAGTATTTTATGGATTAAATCGGTGTTAGAGAAATAAATAAATGGTAAATAAATAAAATAAATAATTTAATCTAATTTTAAAATTGACTACACAAAATTGTTAGAAAATAAATAAATAAAACTGATTTGAAGCACACATTTTTATCATTGTTAAAAGAACAATATATTTATTTATTTATTTTTTAAATTGACGATACAAGCAAATTAATTAATTATAATCCCGAAAGTTTGATTTATTTGGCTTATTTAATGTAAACAAGTTTCTGCTAAAATGTCTCTCAAAGTCTTTTTGAAGCATTTTAAACTACTTTTAATTATTTCACTTCCGTGTTGGATATCAAAATAATCGTCTCATAATGCACAATCTTAATCCGTCAAACGCTTTTTTGATACTTTTATTTTGTTTTGATTGAAAAAAAAAACGGTTCTCTCACAAAGAGAAAATGTCATTTCAAACAGCCCTAGATAGGACACAGTAGCTTTCTGTAACAAAATAAACAAGGTATAGCGGTCAGTGAAAAAGACAATAGGTGTCATTATTGTGTATCCCATGTCCCTTGTAAACAATCAATGGCTTTGAAGTTCTTTCGTTCATAATCGTGTTAGTGTTTTGAATACCGATTTTTTTAATCAAAACAAAGTAAAAATATGAAATTGCAATTGACAAATTAAAATCATGCATCATCTGACGATTATTTTGATATCCATCATGGACGTAAAATAACTACTATTCGCTTTTATGTGCTAAAAAATACTTTGTAACATAGTTTAGGAAAAAAATATTTATACAAAAAGCCCTAATAATTTTCTTTTTGATGGATAAAAATAATTAATTATTTAGTTGTATTGTTCGTTTTTAAAAATATAATTAAAAAATTTGACATTTTTATGGCGATGAATTTTTTATTTCATTTATTTACCATTTATTTATTTCTCTAACACCTTTTTAATCCATAAATTACTTGGAATGGTTTTTTTGTACCTTTTAGAAAAAAAATTACACAAAAACACGCACTTTCACAACAAAAGTAATGCTGCATTTCAGAAAATTTTAGATTCTAAAATAAATTCAATAATTGATTTTTAAATTGTTAGCAATTAAATAAATAAAACTGATTTTAAGCACATATTAAATCATTGTAAAAGAACAATATATTTATTTACTAATTTTTGAATTGACGATAAGAGCAAATTAATTAATTATAATCCCGAAAGTTGGATTTATTTCCCTTATTTAATGTAAACAAGTTTCCGCTAAAATGTCTCTCAAAGTCTTTTTGAAGCATTTTTAAACTACTTTTAATTATTTTACTTCCGTGTTGGATATCAAAATAATCGTCTCATAATGCACAATCTTGATCCGCCAATAGCTTTTTTGATAGTTTTATTTTGTTTTTGTTTGCCAAAAACGGTTTTCTCACAAAGAGAAAATGTTTATTCAAACAGCTGCAGAATGGACACGGTCGCTCTCTGTCACAAAATAAACAAGGTATAGTGGTCAGTGAAAAAGACAATAGGTGTCATTACTGTGTACCCATGTCCCTTGTAAACAATCAATGGCTTTGAAGTTCTTTCATACTCGTGTTAGGGTTTTGAATACCGATTTTTTAAAATCAAAACAAAGTAAAAATATGAAATTGCAATTGACTAATTAATATTGTGCATAATCTGACGATTATTTTGATATCCATCATGATCGTAAAATTATTGGAATTTGTTTTTATATGCTTAAAAAATACTTTGTAGCATATTTTAGGAGAAAGGATTTTCACATGAAATTAAAAGTAAAAAAAATCAATTGGGGGCGGGGTGTATATTTAATCACTTTGTTGTCTTGTCAGTTACAAAATAAATAAATTAATTTTTATTTATTTTGTTTATCTATGTATTTGTAGATAAATTGATAAACAAATAAATAAATAAGATAAATAATTAGTTCATTTATTAATTTTGTATTTTTAAAGTCAGTTATTTTATTTAATTTTCACTTTCCACCTCGCCGTATTTATTTTGTGCCGAGTTTACTATGCAGCTCTGTATTTGTCAAGAAATAGATTGATTTGTTTTTAAAATGATTAATTTCATTTAATTAATTTTATTTATTTTTTTCAAGGAAACTATATCAATTTTAAAAACTACAATTTTCCAAAATTCAGCATTACCCCGGTCGTATTTTTTTTAAAGTACAAAGTCACTCCAAGTATTTTATGGATTAAATAGGTGTTTGCAAAATCAATGAATTAAGTAATAAATCAAACCATTTGAAAGAATAATTAAATAATTGATTTCAAAAATTGATAGATAAGTATTCTTTGAAGCAACAGTTTATTAATATTTCATAGTTATTTCAAAGTTATAAAAGAACACAATTAGTCTCTTAACACTTAAAAAAAAATACTACCATGTGTTTAAAATAATGTTCAAAATTTTCTTAGGTAAGTAACTCTGTGTACTAAATTGATAATCCCACATCTTAGGTAACCGTACAGTGCTCTGGGAGAGTATAAACTTCTTCTTTTTGCTTCAATGAACATATACAGGGGCGTACT